ACCAAAGGTTCAAGGGAAGCTTCTTTACTATCTAACAGTCTAATTTAACTTGCTTATTGTGCTATTATGAACACAATCTGAAGATTCCTTTTTTCACCCTTATTTTTCTTCCTCCTTGTGTCATATTCTCTACTGTTTGTGTCCCTTGACTGAGTTTATCAGTAGCTTATTTAATTTTGCATTTGGTTAGTATTTAATTGGTCTACTTCATTTACTGTGGCTTTATTTTCCTTGGTGATGGCTATTTAGCCTAAGGAGCACTTCCATCTAGAGGAGTTCCTTTAAAATACAGTAGAGATGATTTGTGGGAGGTAAATTCCCTTGACTTTTGCTTACCTGGGAATTGTTTAATCCCTCCTTCAAATTTAAATGATAATCTTCCCAGGTAGAGTATTCTTGGCTCTAGGCCCTTCTGTTTCATTGCATTAAATATATCATGCCTTTGCCTTCTGGCCTGTAAGGTTTCTTCTGAGAAGTCTGATGATAGCCTGATGGGTTTTCCTTTGCAGGTGATCTTTTTTCTATCTCTGGCTGATTTTAATACTCTGCCCTTATCCTTGATCTTTGCCATTTTAATTATTATATGTCTTGGTGTTGTCTTCCTTTGATCCCTTGTGTTAGGAGAAATGTGCACTTCCATGGTCTGAGAGACTATTTCCTTCCTTCCCCAGATTGGGGACATTTTCAACAATTATTTCTTCTAAGACACTTTCTATCCCTTTTTCTCTCTTCTTCTTCTTCTTCTAGTACCCCTATAATGTGAATATTGTTATGTTTGGATTGATCACACAGTTCTCTTAATATTTTTTCATCTCTAGAGTTCCTTTCTTCTCTCTTTGCCTCACCTTCTTTGTATTCCTGTTCTCTAATTTCTATTCTGTTAACATCCCCTGTACCTCATCTAATCTGCTTTTTAATCCTTCCATTGTTTGCTTCATTTCAGCTACTGTAGTTTTTAAGGTGTCTATCTCCATCCTGAATCTGTCCCTTAGCTCTTGAATATTTTTCTCTATCACAATTAGCATGCTTATTACCTTTATTTTGAATTATTTTTCAGGAAGATTGGTGATTTCAGTCTCACTGAACCCTCTTTCTGGTGTTTGAGGGATTTTGGAATGAACAAGTTTGTTCTGCTTTTCCATAATCGTATTGGATAATGAGAAATATTAGGTTTGTGTAGGCAGCGCCCTCTGTGCCCAGAAGCACTGCTCTTTGGAGCTGACCAATACCTGTAGCAATGGCAGTGGTCGCAGATGAGCAGCGTGGGTACCTGCCAGGAGGACAAAACCCTTTCCTGCTTCCTGGCTGCAGTGCCTGCCTCTGCTGTCAGGGAAACTTAGCTGCACAAAGGGAGAAGCCTCTGTGTTAAGCCATGTAGTTTCTGTAGGTGGGATTGCCCTCCATCTGGTCTGGAGCAATGGCGGGGACAGTGGGTTTGCGTGCAGGTGTTGGTAGGGAAGAAGTAGTGGCAGACTGCTTATAGCAGTGAGGTGCCTCAGGGCTGCACTGCCAGCCAGGTGAATGGGGCACCTGAAGCTCCTGAAAATTCTCAACCTGCTGGGCTGAGTGTGCCAAGATAATTTTGTCCACCTGTTCCTTCTCCTAAACCCTTGTCCCTTTAGCAGCCCTCTTACTGGTGGGAAGTCTTTCAAAGTGCCCACCTTTCTTTTGTCCCAGGGAAGCTAGTTATGGAACCTGTTCACAGTCTTAGCTTTGACTTTTGTTTTCAGCCCCTCTAATCTCCAGAGCACCATACAATGTGGATCTGTGCTCCCAGAGTAGATTTCTAGGGCTGGGTATTTACCAGTCTTGTGCTTCTACTCCCTCCCTGCTCTGATTCTCTTCCTCCCACTGGTGAGCTGGGGTCAGGGTGGTGCTCAGATTCTGCTGGGTCTTGGCTTTTTTACTTTACCTTCTTCTGTGAGATGTTCTCTTTTAGCAGATGTAGACTTGGCTGGTGTAGTCTTATTTCTGGTCACTGTTTTAAGAATAGTTGTATTTGTTGTATTTTCATAAAATATGTGGTTTTGGGAGGAGATTTCTGCCTCAGTTCTCATGCCACCATCTTGTTTCCTCTCCTCTTCCTTATTACAACTCTTTACATGAGGCAGTCTACTATAATTCTCATTCTTTTGATAGGGTGTAATGGGGTTAAAAAAAGACTGTCCTTGCTTTTGAACCACCTCTCACAGTAGAATTACTTCATTATATATATGCCCTAATAGATGTTCATATGGACAAGATGGCAACAAATGGTGAGTGGGGACAAAAGGCAACTTGGAATCCCTATCACTCCCTGATACCTGATTGATGAAGAACTCTGAGGTGATGCTCCTGGATTCCAGACTTCATCCTCCTTCACTGACCCAACCTGCTCCCCCTTACTCATGAAAACATAGCTAACCCTAGCCATGAGGGGAGCCCAGAGAAAAAGCCACATGTGAAGACAGGCAGAAAGATGAAACAGAAAGAAAAACAGCAAAAGGAGAAACCAGAGCAGGAGAGGAGGCAGAAGAAACTGTGCTCTGCAAGTCAAGTGAGAAAGTGATTCCCAGAAGACACAAGGAGTTGAACAAGTCAATTTCATGTCTGTCGAGAGGAACTGAGCAGCTCTGTGGCTAGAAGATGCAGTCATTTGTAGAACTACAGCCATCGACATTCAAAAGGATTTGCCACTCACTATTTCACCTCCGGCTCTTAGGAGACTTTTAAAGAAGTTGCAAAAATATCTACACAGACAGGGCCTGGATAAATTGCCTAACTACAGATGGATTTCCAACAGCAGAGGGGTATGACTACAGCAAGATAAAAGGCTCAGACGTGTCTCTGAAAGGCTGGCTCAGCTTGATGGTAGGCGGCAGGACAATGCCACATGAGCCACAGGACACACCCTGAACTACACCCCTTCTGGGGTCTATTTACCTGACCCTTAGGTCATACTGCCAAATAAAATAAACCAACTTTCTAAATGGCCATTGGCAAGTTCTCTCAAATTTTTACTTATTCAAGTATATCAAATTGTGAGAAAATAAACTTACCTCCAAACCAGGATTTCTTTTCTAAAGTACAGACACAAGATTTCAAATGGATTCTTACAAAAGATGGCATCTCCTTCAAACTACATTAGAGGTGCTATAACAGCTCAAATGAAAGGTCCACAAGTTAGTTAAGTCATTGATAGAGATGATGGACTTTTAATTGTCAAGTTCATCAAAACCTACTGAAATGCTGTCCGGGAAGCCAGCTTCCAGGAGAACTTCTGATGTGCCTGCCCAGAGTCACTGCATGTGGTTTGGTGCAGGGCCCTCACTTTAGGACCCTGGGTGTCCACAGTTTTGTATTGCTGGATGGTACCTTCATTTACTATACATGCTCTTCTCTTGAGTCTAGCAAACCACCTTACTAGTGGGAAATGCAGAAGAGTTCCATGTATGGGTACCTTCACTGAAAGTCCTAACCTCAAACTTGAATTAGCATTTTATTTATGTATGCCACACAATTTGAGTTTGTAAATAGCTGTGAATTGAAGGCAAACAAACAAACAGGAAACAAGCCTGTGGCAGAGCCCATGGCTGACGCAGACATGATCACACAGCTTGTGAAGCCTGGGCTAGTCCCCTCACTACAGCGTCCAGTGGAGAGAATGGTTTAGTCATGAGATGGTTCAAAGCAGACTCAGCACTCACGTTCCTGGATGGTTGTACTGTTTGAAGAGTGACTGATGTTGATGATCATTTCATTTAAGAGTCAGAGTGGAGGTAAGTTTTTCTGTTTGACCACATTTATATTCTGTTCAAACATACTCTGGGGAATGAAAATCTTCATATATGTATTACCCTCCTTATAGGCATGATTTGAAGAGCAATTGAATAGTTGACCCTTCCAAAATCAAACTACAAACTCAGTTTCGTTAGAAGTCATGAGAAGCTTCCATGTCATTACAAAGTCAGTGGAAGCAAACACCAGCTTCAAGCGGCCACTGCAACGGAAAGCGGTGTTGGCTGATGATCTGCTGTATCCATTATGATATAGGCTCCAAGAGAGCAGGACACACAGTTAGCTCACCATCTAACTCATTAGTGCCCACATGAGCCACAAAATAGTAAAAACTTAATAAAATTTAGTGACTCAATGAATAAAAACAACAAAATGATAATATAAATTACAAAATGAGAAGTTTATGAAGGAATATAAATTATTAGTAGGCTAAAATAATGGATATTTTGTTTCCCAAGAGTGCCAATTATACTGAACCTGAAAAGCGAATAGGTCATTCTGCAGGACAAAGAATTTGTGGGGATGGGGATCAAGTGTGTATGATTCCAGGCCAAGGGAGCCCAGCAGGGGAGGACCCAAGGCAGGGAAGAGCTGAATGAGCAGACAGAACTGAAGGGAGGCCCTGGCGCTGGCCTGCAGCACCCTGAGCGGAGGGGTAATTCATGGACATGGAACATCCCTGCACTGCTGCTCGCCTACTGCATAAGCCACACCACTGCATTAAATTTCTTTGGAAACTGAACAGATATAATTGTCATACTTAATTTTTCCCTGGGTTTTTCATACAATGCTGTTATTTGTTCCTAAGGGAATAATTACAAGAATGTTTCCATGTACCAAAAAATATTTTTCTGTATTACCTTTGAACCAACCAAAAGTTACCATGCCAAAGATAGGATTATGTTTCACTTAAAAATGTCATCTAACAAAATGTTTTATTGTCTTAAATAACCCAAATTAAAATGATCTTGTCAAGAAATTGTATATTATGACAAGTTAAGAAATAATAGCAGAGGTACTAAGTATTTTTCCAATTACAGTGAACAAAGCATGAAGAAAAGAGAGAAAAATTAATGTTTCCCAGATGAGGTAGAGGAAGGAGCTCTGTGGCTTGGCTGCCTGTCAGGAAAAAATACCCAAAGCTTGACAGTGAAAGCACATATTTAGCATTAAAACATAAAACCAGAGGGTAGGAAACTCCTTAGAGAGAGCAGAGCGCCTACCTGTGGCCAAGTAGATGATGTGGATGAGCATGTCCCGGCCCTGCACCACGTCCATGGCCACATGGGAAAAGCAGCTGTTGTCCTCCATGAAGTGGGGCACTGGGGTCACTGGCTGTACCTCGTGCATCAGAATGAACTTCTGAGCATCCTGCAGGTTCCTTTCCATCAGGTTTGCGTACAGACCCTGGCCCACCATGCCGCACTGCAAGGGAACACAGTCCGTCACTGGAACCGGCCACCTTGACCCCATAGGTGACCCTGGCCTCCCCAGCCAGAGGCTGACTTGGAAAACGAACAGCTGAAGCATGAAAACATGCTTACTTCTCCAGTTGCTCCCAAGTCCCCATCCTTGTTATGCCTCCTATTTTAGATAAGGACTCAATCTTGTTTGGGGTGTCTCTCAGTTCCATCATAAAAAGAAATGATCAGAAGTGAAAAATATAGATAAGTTATTGCTGACTTTAATTTGAATAGCATATGCATAAAAACTCCTCAGCATATTTTAAGTCTCTTGGGAGCTGTCTGTCTAAATGCATATTATTATATCTGTCTGATAAATCAAGTACCCAAACTGAAAATGCAGCAATCAAGAACTCATATAGATTTATTACTTTCCCTATTGGAGCAATGGGCCTATAAGGCCATGAAGAAAGACTTATGCTAGATTCATCTGGGAGCATAGAATATCGTTGTAACATCATTCACGTGGGTTATAAAAATCTATATTGCCTTATATTGTTATTTCAAGTTATAAAAAATAGTAAACTTACTAGAAATCTGGGAAATATCACACCAAACTTTGAATAGTGAGAAGGAGAAGGGAAGAAGAGAGATAAAAGAGAGAAAAGGAGAAAAGGGAGCAAAAAGAGGAAAAAGGAGAGAGATTTCCAAGCAGAAGAAAAACCTGAGTGGGGAAGGGTATCTGCACAGGAAAGAAAGGCTGGAAATTGCTGAGAACTTAATTCAGAGCCGTGCTGTAGAGAGCTGTGAGGGTACCGGCTGTGATGGATTCTGGCAGGACGGATCCAAAAAGGCAGAGGGAAGGAGGTTAAGCTTTGCTGGAGCAGAGAGAGGACTGCATCAGGAAACCACAAACCTTTCACAATTAATTTCATAAACTCTAAGTCCTGGTACGAATAGTGACTGATACCTATCAGGATTTCATGCAAGTTGGTTTGATAGAAATGAATCTCTTTGTCCATAACATGAAACTACCATTATAATACGCCATTCTAACACTTGCTTTTAGTAAGAGATTAGAGGTATGAAAGTATGATTTTTACAAGTAGAAATGTATGTGTACCATTTAATATGATGTCCTACATTTTACAAAATGAGAGAGAAAACTGAAGAATTTAGAGTGTTGCAGCTAAATGGATTTTATGTGCCAGGTACAATACCTAACTCAATATTAAAACCTTCCTATGGCAGTTCACTGCTGAGATGAAGGGCACTGCCCTGACCTAGTTCTGGGTGATCCTCAAGCTGCTGGTCATAGAGTAGGGCACAGGGATTATGTCCTAAGCAAGAGAATGAGAAATCGTACAGAAACTGTTTCCGTGTTGCTTAAATTCATAATGCTTGTGATAAACCCCTTAAAGCAATAAAGTTGTTGATATCTAGATTTTAATGAATGACTAAGATAAGGTTTCTACTTAGTTTACTTAATTAACTTATGTGCATAAAATGCATCCTGGTTCTAGCATTGCTAGATTTGGTAAAGTCACCTTCCATCGCACAGGCCCACACTCACCAGCCACATCCTTCAGGATTCACAGATGCAAATTGCACCCTTGATTCACTGGCTTCCTTACTTCCTCTTGTGTCTCCTCAAACACATACTGTGCACTTATGAAAATGGTCAGATCCCTCTGTCCACTTGTTTGGCCATTTCAGTTGTCTTATTGCACCATTTTAACTCCATCTGTTAGGTTTTGCAATAACCTGAGTTGCACACAATGTCCCACTTGGAAATGTACTAAGAAAAAAAGAAAAATTTGTTTCTGGTATTTTTTATAATTAAGCTCAGAGTTTGTATTATCGAAGCCTCATATTGGGCAAAACTTTAAGGTATTATCTACTATGATTATTCCTAACTTATAACTGATACATAGGGGGAATAGTTTATGTTGTTTGAGATGGCTGTACTTATATACTGAAAACTGGTAAAGTATCTCTCCTACATACTCATTTTTTGAGTTTGGAAATTCTAGTATATAAATGCTGCATACATTTACAGATACTGATAAATAGATGTTATCTGAAAGAAGCAAGAATAAAGAAAAGAAAGTTCTAATCACTTTATACATTTCTGATAGAGGCATCCTTAGAGTAAAACTTACCACCATTATAAACCAGTCAAGACGGTATCATGAATATAAGGGAACATGCATATGCTAGCTGAACTAGCTTACAGTGGTAAACCAAGAGAAGACTAGACACACATTTTACATGTGTTTCCCAGTAACAGGTGATATAAAATCCATCATAACCAGTCTGTCTCTTTATCAGTGATTAAGGTGATAATGTGGCTTTGATGTCTTCATCAACATTTTATTTTGAGACCTTTCTAGAATATGTAGTTCTAAGAAATAATAGAGATTCCATGTGCCCTTCTCTAAGTGGTAACATGACGCAAAATTATAGTACAAAAATCACAACCAGAATATTGACACTGACACAGTCCAGACATAGAACAGTTCCATATGGATCCCACCTGCTGACCTCTTTTCCTCACACACACCTATCTCCCTTCCTCTCCCCACCCCAATCCCTGGCAACACTCATCTACTCTCCATTTCTATACTTCTATCATTTCAAAAGTGATTATATAAAAGGAATCACACAGTATTTGGGAGTGGCTTTTTTTACTCAGGATAATTCTCTGCAGATCTAAGTTGAATTTATCAGCAGTCTGTGCCTTTTAATTGCATGGCATGCAGTTGCCAAGTTGTATGACAGCATACGTTTAGTTTTATATGAGTCTGCAAAATTGCTTTCCAGAGTGGCTGTACCATTTTAGACGCCCACCAGCAATGCATGTATGATTTAGTTTCTCTGCATCCTCATAAATATTTGGTGTTGTCACTATTTTTCATCTTAACCATCTAATAAGTATGTAGTAATATCTCATTGTGGGTTTAATTTATATTTCCCTAATGGATACAGATGTTGGTCATCTTTTCATGTGCTTATTTGCCATTGGTATTATCCTCTTTGGTGAAATATCTCTTCATGTCTTTTGCTTATTTGCAAATTGAATTGTTTTTTGCTTTTGTGTGTGCTTTTTTTCTTTAACTGTTGCATACTGAAATTTCCTTATATATTCTAGACATATAAGGAAAGTCTCCTCATATATTTGGAACAGTTTCTTTGGCAGCCATAGATAACTGATACATGAAAGTATGAACATCTTAAAGGGGATGTCTAGGGATGACATGCCTTAACCCAAAGTGTTGATGGGCAAATTACAGTCAATAGAAGGCAACTGAAGCTCAAATTGGGGCAGCAATAGAATCCTTCTTCCTATTTATCAGATCTCTTTAGGTGAGTGGCCACAGTATGATCCACACTTGAGGCTGGGTGCAATGTGCAAACAGAACAGCTATTATCCTGCCCTATTGGTCACAGGTCAGGGCGGGGAGCAGCCAGATAATGGAGACCAGACTGATGGAGACTAGACCTTTATGGGGTGCATGGTTTATAAATATTTGCCCCCAGTATGCAGCTTGGTTTTTTTCCACTCACTTAACAGGGTCTTTGGGAGACAATGTTTTTAATTTTGATGATGTACTGCTTAATGATTTTCTCTTTTATGGATTATGTTTTTACCATCAAGCCTAAGAACTTTTTGCCTAGCCCTAGATCATAACACTCTTCTCTTATGTTCTTTTTTTGTTAAAGTTTTGTAGTTTTACATCTAAGAACATGACCTGTGCAGAGCTAATTTTTGTGTAAGGCTTGACATTTAGGTCAAGGGTGGTTGTTGTTTTTTGTGTTTGTGTTTTGTGCCCTTGTATGCTTAATTGCTCTAGCATCACTTATTGAAAAAGTTATGCTTCATCTATTGCATCACTTTTTCACCTTTGTCAAAATTCAATTGAGCAAATCAGAACTCTTCACCTAGACGAGATGGTAGAGACCCATTTCTCCCTGTTTCTCCTCATCTAACACAACTATAAATCCTGGGAATAATGCAAGAGGCATCCAAAGGAGAACTCTAAATAGCGGCATGAGAATTTAGGACACCAGGACTGGAGAAAAGCACCATGGCAGGATTTTCTACAACCCTGTATCCAACAGAAGGAAACTCAGGCCTGACATTTTCTGACCTCTGACCTAGCAGTAGAAGTCCATTTCTCCCCCAGATGGGTTAGGAGTCAGACTGACAACATCAGGTGAGCTGAACATCACTGTCAATGGAGGGATAATGACTCTTGTTGGCAGTAAGCAGCCAAAACCAGAGAGAGTAGCCTGGCCACAATCAGTAGCTTGACGCAGGAGGACTGACTCACTGAACTGAGACTCTACTCCCCCAACTGGAGAGTGGAGTTAGGGCAGCCAAAGGCTGCCAGTGATGAGAGTCCTGCCACAAGAACTACCAACCTTGGGAAACCCCTCCATCCTTCAGAGGTGGGGGAAATCTTTCCAGAGCAAGTGCCCACCCAGGGAACTTGCAGGTCCTGGCAGGCCTGAGACTACTCCTCCCCATAGAATGACACCCAATATCTCATCTAAGGAAACCCATTTTACTCCATAAGGCAGCACCAGTAGGGATTAGGGGGGCTTAAATGGTATCACATAAACCAAATCAAAGAAATGCCATGAATGCAATAAAAGGAAAACTATCATTGGAACCTCAAAACAGTCCAGGACCTGTATGCTAAATAGAAACAGAGCAACTGCCTAATAAATAGAAAGCCTAAATAACATCAGAGTCTCCTAAGATAATGGGCAAATGTCTAGAATACAATCAAAATTCACCTGTCATACCTGAACCGAGAAAATCATAACGTGAAGAGAAAAAATCAATCCATCATCTGATACCATCACCAACCTACTTGTTGGATTTATCTGACAAGGATTTCACAGAAGCCATCATTAGTAATACTTCCACAATCTATTACACATTCTTTGGAAAAAAATGGAACTATAGAAATCTCATCAGTAAAACAGAAGTCACAATAAAGAACCAAATGTAAA